GAAAGATGAAACATATGGGGAAACATCCTCAGGTGGTGTAGACTCAAGTTTGTTCAAATCATGACCCCCGGGGGTAGGGCAGGGCCACAATGGCCGACCAAAGTTTTACATAGAAATATATAGGAAAATTCTTTTAAAATCTTCTTCTCAAGAATAACAAAGCAATAATTGATCAAATTTATATGGAAGCATCCTCAGGTAGTGTAGATTCAAGTTTGTTTAAATCATGACCCCCTGGGGGGAGGGCGGGGCCACAATGGTCGACCAAAGTTTTACATAGAAGTATATTGGAAAATTCTTTAAAAATCTTCTTCTCAAGAATAACAAAGCCATAATTGATCATATTTTTATGGAGGCATCCTCAGGTAGTGTAGATTCAAGTTTGTTCAAATCATGACCCCCAGGGGTAGGGCGGGCCACAATGGCCGACCAATGTTTTACATAGAAATATATAGGATTGATTGATTGATTGATTGTATATTGTTTAATGTCCCTCTCGAGAATATTTCACTCATATGGAGATTTCACCGTATGCCGGTGAAGGGCTTCAAATTTTGACCTTTACTCAGCACTCAGGGCTATTGAGCAGTGAGGGATCTTTATCGTGCCAACGCCTGCCGCTGACACGGGACCTCAGTTTTTAAGGTCTCATCCCAAGGATACGCAACTTTCACTTCGAAGTGCCCAGCCCATGGCGAAGGAACAGTTGCTACCCATTTTTTATCGACTTAGGTTAGTCGCGGCTGAGATTCGAACGCACAACCTCTCGATCACAGAGCGAGAGCTCTACCGACTGAGCTAAATGAACGGTGAAATGTTTAGGAAAATTCTTTAAAAATTTTCTTCTCAAGAATAACAAAGCCATAATTGATCATATTTATATGGAAGCATCATCCCCAGATAGTGTAGATTAAAGCTTGTTCAAATCATGACCCCGGGGGTAGGGCGGGGCCACAATAGCCGACCAAAGTTTTACATCGGACATATATAAGAAAATTCTTTAAAAATCATCTTCTCAAGAATAGCAAAGCCATGATTGGTCATGGGACTACTTTTGGATTTAAACTTTTCAATAATAAACCAATCTCTACTTTTTTTCTAGCCACAGTTCTCAGGTGAGCGATGTGGCCCATGGGCCTCTTGTTTTTCATGTGTAGCTCATGAATTGAAAGCATGAAATAAAGCATGTTTTTGTTGCAGACAGAATCCTTTTTAAATTCTTTCTTTTATTAATAAATAAATATTTTCAATTATTTGACAATTTTAATAAACTGTGTTTTTCTTAATCAAATGTTTTAACAAAAATACATTTTATTTTACCACCAAAATCTGTCGTTGTAATCTGGCGACAAAAAAGGAAAGTAATTCAAATTACATGTCATGTATGCTAAACAAAAGAAGAAAGTGGATCATAAATAAGTCTCTCGATAAATAACAATTAAACTTAGACAAAATCCACAAATGGTCAATAAACTGATAAATCAGCGGCCGCAAGATCTACATGTATCTGTATGGAATTAAACAAAATCTGATCTGCAAACAATTTCATTAAAATTATATCATGTTTAATTTGGTTTTATTTGATAGACTTAAGAAATCAGTATACTGATCAAAACGAGGAAAAACGATCATGCATGTGCCCAATATTGTGATATTTTTCTTCTCTCTCCCTCCCCTCCTCTCTCTCTCAATCTACTAACTGGTATAGGTATAAATAGACATGTAAATAACATAGTAATGGATTATTATTTGATTTAATTAATATCAAATACTTTATAAATTCGTTTTAAAAGTTTGAAGTTTTTTTTTTACTTTTATTCTCTTTATACACTCCTTTAAAAAAAAGCAACAATATATCGACACTAATGTCAAGGCTATTATCACATTTGAAAATGATATCGATGAAATAATAATGAAACATTGAATCAAATGTTGTGTTGAATGGCTAGACAACGATGTGCACATTCAGCGAGCGTTACCCAAGGTACTCTAAGACAGGTGTGAAACCCCCTGGGCATGCCGTTTCCTGCTCTGGACTGTTCAAGCTAATCCCTATACACAAGAAATGATCACGGCTAATACTTAATACACAAAGAAACAAAATTTGTTCAAAAAAACGAAAGTATTTGATTTTTTGCATTGAATATTTAATAAAAATTTAAGTGTAATAACCTCCCCCCCTTTGATTTACATACTATCTTATCTACTGAACATGAAAATCGAGAAATATTAAAATTAAAAAGAAAGACATTGTTTACAAAAGTAATACATGTTAATATGAAGGTGAAGAAGCGATATTTTTTCTTGATCTCTTGTATAAAGTTCATGTGCTCAAAGTAACTCTCGCCATCGAATGCTTTCCGGTTATCTGACCCTATGAGAAAAATGCCTGGCAGGCACATTTATATAAAAGAGGGAAATGAATTAAGGAAAAGTGTTCTAAATTTGGTAACAGAACATAAAGGATGACAAAGAAGAAAAGAATTTTTTTTTGATATCTTGGATAAAGAAAATTGAAGTTCACAAGCCCACTACATGTAACTGCAAACTCTCACTATCGAATGTTTTTCGGTAATTTGACACTTTAAGAAAAATGCCTGCACATTTAATATCATCATCGCAAACCACGGTCAAAATGTACGATCCTCTACAATTCTGGAGAGAGCTATATGCACCCAGACTCCAGACCGTGGCTAGAGACGATGATTTAATATACAATAAAGCGAAATTAATAAAATTAAGGGTTCTAAATTTGGGGAAAGAATATAAACAACATGAAGATATACATTTTTACAAAGATGTACATTTTTTTTTTCAAATGAATGCTGAAAATCGTTTATCAAAACTCAAACAGTCTGAGTTCAGCATTTACTACAGTTTTGCATACATAATATGAAGATTAACAAGAGGCCCAGGGGCCACAGCGCTCACCTGAGCACATCGGCTAGGAAAAAGCACATATCAGATCAGAACTGAAAGTTTACTGAGGTAAGCGGGCGGGGGGGGGGGGGGGGGGGGGCTTGAATTTTAACCCTCCAGGGGATAATGATTTGAACAAACTTGACTCTAGACTACCTGAGGATGATTCCATTTAAATATTACTAATCATGGCTTTGAAGTACTTGAAAAGAAGAGTTTAAAAGGTTTCCCTATATATTCCTATGTAAAACTTTTGTCGGCCATTTTGACCCCACCCTAGCCCGGGGGGTCATGATTTGAACAAATTTGAATCTACACTACCTGAGGATGATTCTACATGAGTTTCATCTTTCCTGGCCCAGTGATCCTTGAGGAGAAGAATTGTTAAGATTTTTCCTATATATTCCTATCTAAAACTTTGATCGGCTATTTTGGCCTCATCCTACCCCTTGGGGTCATGATTTGAACAAATTTGAATCTACACTACTTGAGGATGATTCTACGTGAGTTTCATCTTTCCTGGCCCAGTGATCCTTGAGGAGAAGAATTGTTAAGATTTTTCCTATATATTCCTATCTAAAACTTTGATCGGCTATTTTGGCCTCATCCTACCCCTTGGGGTCATGATTTGAACAAATTTGAATCTACACTACTTGAGGATGATTCTACGTGAGTTTCATCTTTCCTGACCCAGTGGTTCTTGAGAAGAAGATTTTTAAAGATTTTTTCCTGTATATTCCTATGTAAAACTTTGATCGGCCATTTTGGCCCCACCCTACCCCTGGGAGTCATGATTTGAACAAACTTGTATCTACACTACCTGAGGATGATTCCACATGAGTTTCATCTTTCCTAGCTCAGTGGTTATGGAGAAAAAGATTTTTAAAGATTTTTCCTATATACTTCTACGCTAAACTTTGATCAGCCATTTTGGCCCCACCTTACCCCAGGGGGTCATGATTTGAACAAACTTGAATCTACACTACCTGAGGATGATTCCACATGAGTTTCATCTTTCCTGGCCCAGTGGTTCTGGAAAAGAAGAATCTTAAAGATTTTTCCTATATATTCCCATCTAAAACTTTGATCGGCCATTTTGGCCCCACCCTTCCCCCGGGGGTCATGATTTGAACAAATTTGAATCTACACTACCTGAGGATGATTCCACATGAGTTTCATCTTTCTTGGCCCTGTGGTTCTGGAGAAGAAGATTTTTTAAAAATGCCATTAATTTTTCATTAATTCATAATTATCTCCCCTTTGAAAAGGGCATGGCCCTTCATTTGAACAACTTAAATCCCTTTCATCCAAGGATACTTTGTAGCAAGTTTGGTTGAAATTGGCCCAGTGGTTCTTGAGAAGAAGATGAAAATGTGAAAAGTTTACAATGACAACGACGACGACGACAACGATAACAACGACGATGACAGACAACGGACAAATTTTGATCAGAAAAGCTCACTTGAGCCTTCGGCTCTGGTGAGCTAAAAAAAACCTAATTAACTAGTATTTATAATTTTGTTTCTTGATAGACTCTTAATAACACAAAATAATTAACCAATTGCAATGAAGTAACCATTTAATAAAATTTTCTATTCAATTTCAAAGATTGATATGTAATTTCAGAAACAAAAATAAACCTATTTTTTCTTAGTTTAAATTCTATTCATAGCAAAATAAATGAAATACTTTAATTAATAAACACACAGTGTCATTCTTTTTTTTGTTACAGGGAAAGTTCGCAAATTACAATTCGGGGAGATAACTCTCGTTTGTTTACGATTCTAACTGTCAGTAATTGATCGATGATTTTAACGGCGGCGGGGACAGGTAGGAGATGAAATTCCCGCGGAGGGAACGCGGTTTACCTGTCTCACCTGGCCTTATACCGCGTTGTGATTGAAATTCCCGCGGAGGGAACACGGTTTACCTGTCTCACCTGGCCTTATACCGCATTGTGATTATACCACGACGGGGCGCGGGAAATACGGGATCTGCGTTGCCTGTACTGTATACATAGCAAGTGTATGATAATGGACAGTGTATCCATCACTTTTTTTTTCAATTAACTTCAAACTTACCTGTGAATGATCATGCCAATGAACTGGATTAGCAGAATAAAGAGGAAGAATATGACAAACATCAGACCAACCACGTCAACTTTTAGAACATTTTCTGCTCTCTGCGTACCTATATCTTCTTCTAAATCATCAGGATCTTTTCCAGACTGTAAAAATAACATGTCACTACATTGGAAAGCTTCTCATACATTGTATTTCACTCCCTTTAATGCCCTTAGCTTTCTTTTTTTCAAAAATATAAGAAGATTGTCCTATGCAGCAGTTTAGTGGCAAAAACATTATTAATTAAACAATTTCCTAGTGTTCAGTAACTTACACTACATTTGTTTGCTTAATTCCAAGGAGAAGAGAAAATATTTTAAACGATGATAATGCACTTTTACTATATGATCAATAGCTAGCTAGAGCCTCACCCTAATCCCAAAACCCATAACCCAGGGGCAATGAATTTCACATTCTTGGAAGCACCCTTCCTTATCATAACCAAACATTTGGTTGGTCTACTAAATATTATACAATTGAGAAAAATTTCAAAGAATTACTGTGGTTTCATCAATTTTCGTGGATTTTGTAAAACAGACGTTTTCAAGGATACGTAATTTCGTGGACAAAAGCTTTGCCTGTACAAACGAATAACAAATTTCTTAATTCAATGAACATTGGATTTTGTGGATCTGCTCAACAAAGAAATCCTCGAAAATTCGTGCTCAACGAATATTGATGAAACCACAGTAATGCATTTTTATAAATAATGTTCAATAATCCTACTCCTACCTTAACCCCAGAACCCCTGACCCAGAGGTCACAGTGGCAGATCCAGAGGGGCCAGGGTAACAAGGGTTGCAACTCCCCCCTGTATTTGCTAAAATGAGAGAGAAAGAAGAGAATCCCAAACTTTTGTTGTGTTTTACTATAGTAAATATTCAGTGAAGAGTTAATGTAGTAATATATGAAGGAATTCGGTTGTAATAACAGAATTAACCCCCCCCTCCCCCCTTATTAAAAAGTTTTTATAAATCTTCAATAAAGCCCCCCTTATTCTTTTTATTAATAAAAATATTTCCTAAATATTCTTAGGTTTGATCCCTTGTTATGAAACCAGGGGTTGTGATTTGAACAAATTTGAATCTACACTACCTGATGATGTGTTTGTACTAATGTGATTCATTATGACTTTGTTTTTCTTGGAAAGAAGATTTTGAAAAATATTTCCTGTATTTTTTAATGTATAACTTCAACCCCCTGCTGTCATCCTACCCTTGGTCATAGATTTTTAATAAACTTGAAATTTCACGTAACTTAACTTTAAATACAATCTGTATCTTTTCTGGCTCTTGATTCTTTAGAAGAAGATTTTTTTTAAATGCCATTAAAATTTCACTAATTCTTCATAAATAATTTCCTCTTGAAAGAGAGTGTGGTCCTTGATTTGAACACATTGAATCCCTTTACTCCAAAATGCTTTGTGTCAAGTTTGGTTGAAATATGCTAATTGGTTCTTATGAAGAAGTAGAAAATGTGAAAAGTTCACAGACAACAGAAAGCCTCCAATCAGAAAAGCTAACTTGAGCCCTTAATAAACTCAGTTGAGGTAAGAACTTGAAGTTGGCTTACAGGTAATGGAATGGAGACAACTGTTGGCTTCCTCAGTTGGAACATGAAATTGATGGCAATCCACAGAACGTTGATGAGAGCCATTCCACCACAGACATTATTTCGGAGCTCTATTAAAGCTGCACTGTCTTTCTTCTCTTTCTCTTTGTTCTTTTCCAAAGGATACAAATACCTATTGCATAGAAATTAATGCAATCATCATGGTGTAAAATTTTTAAAAAATACATTATACAACATGGGATATGGCAAAATCCTTTAAAAGATTGTTAAAGATTACTTACTTATCCACAAAACCTTTCCAGAATTTTTTTCTTCTTGGTTCATCTGCATCATCTCCCCTCCACTAAATGCTTCTGTCTCTACCCAGACTGGATTGATAAGGGGATCTCTCTTCTTCTTCTTCTTCTTCTGCTCCTCATACATGTACAGCTCTTCATCAAATTCTTCCATCTCCTTCTCCTAAAAGCAATGACAATGAAAACGAAATTGATGCTTTAAGGAGAATCTTGTTTAATAACTTATCAATATCTAAATGTTGAATGAAATATCCCATTTTAATAGTATTCAAGCAAATGACATTTTTTTCCCCTGCAATTATTTTCCTGGGATTTCAGTAATTTTTAAATTTTCTACCTCATTCTTTTCTGCAAATCTAACAGTCTTCTTCTCCTTCTTTGGATTTTTCTCTTCCACCACCACTTCTTCTAATCCCACTCCATCTTTCTGCTTGTTCATTTTCTCCAAATTCTCATTCATTTTGATCAATACTTCCGTCAGTTTATCGTTTTCCTTTTTATTTTCGGTGGACAATTTTTCGGTGATAGTTTGCTTCAAGTCTTGGACAAGGTTGAAAAAGGGGAAAAACTTATTCCAGAAAGATTCCTTCTTTTTCTTTTCTTCTTTCTCCTTCTTCTCCTGTTCTTCTTTTTCAAGTTCTGCTTTGGTTTTCTTTTTTGGAACCTCTCGAGTTCCCCAGGAAACAACATGGAGGTTGGTCAAAGAATAAATGACCAGCACAAGAAAACCAGATGGCACCCACAAGAAGTATAAAACTCCGTAAATCAAATTGTGGAACTCCCGAGGATGAAAAGCTGCTGCTATCAGGAAGATTAAAACCAGTCCAGACAAGAAAATGACACTGGGGTGATAGGGTGTCACAGTTGCTGCAGTAATAATAGCTCCTACGAAGACCACCATCATGATGAATACGTAAATTCCACTGAGAACCTGGGCAACAATTAGCTGTATATTTGGTTTGAAGATGAAGCAGATGATAAAGTACAGTATCGCTGGTATGAGGGAGATTATGTAGGAAGTGATCAGATCGACACTGAAAACGGTCAGGAGGGCACCTGCTATCATCATCAGAACTGTTGCTGGACCAATAATGGTGGAAACCATTAATGCAGCTGCAATAAAAATGGCACAGAATAATATAACAAGAGGCCCACGGGCCTTATAGATCACCTGAGTATTATGTAACAACTTTTCCAACAATTGAATTTGGTTTGTGTTTTAAACCAGAGGCCATGAAATTCACAATTTTGAAAGAGGCACCATTGCTTATCATAATTATAAACTTGGCATGTTTATGCAATTTACTTAATACCCAGAGGTAGATCAGAACTTAACAAAGAGAAAATGCACTTCCACTTTATAACCAATTGCGCACCCCACCCCAAAGGAACCACTGATCCTGAAGCCACATATTTCAAAAAATTTTACCATAAATTTTATTTCATCATAAATGGTTGATTAATACCCAGAAGCAGATTTCAAAGCATTAATATATTTTTTTACCCTCCCCCCCAATACCTCTGCCTAGGGGGCATGAAATTAACCATTTTGCTAGATGCACCTTTCTTCATCATAAATATATATACTTGGATCATTAGCATAATACCCAGGAGCAAAGGAAAAGATTTTCAATGAATTAATGTATTTTTACTGTATAATCAAAAGACCCCCCCCCCCTTTACACCTAAATGGCAAAACCTCTGACCCTGGGGCCATAAAATTCAAAATTTTGAAAGAGGCACCCTTGCTCATCATAACTATGTATTTAGTTAGTTTATTTAAAACCCAGAAGCAGAGAAGAATATTTTCAAAGAATTAATGCATTTTCACTATATGGTCAATAGTGCCCCACCCTAACACCAGAACCCCTGATCCTGGGGCCATAAAATTCACAATTTTGGAAGGGGCACTCTTGCTCATCATAACTCTGTACTACCTTAGTTTATTTAATACCCAGGAGCAGAGAAAAAGATTTCAAAGAAATAATGCATTTTCACTATATAATCTATATTGCCCTGCCCTAACACCAAACCCCTGACCCTGGGGCAATAAAATTCACAATTTCGGAAGGGGTACTCTTGCTCATCGTAACTATGTACTAACTTAGTTAGTTTAATACCCAGGAGCAGAAAAGAAGATTTTTGAAGAATTAATGCATTTTCACTATATAATCAATAGAGCCCCGCCCTAACACCAGAACCCCTGACCCTGGGGCCATAAAATTCAAAATTTTGGAAGAAGCACTCTTGCTCATCATAACTCTGTACTAACTTAGTTTATTTAATACCCAAGAGCAGAGAAAAAGATTTCAAAGAAATAATGCATTTTCACTAATATAATCTCTATAGCCCAGCCCTAACACCAGAACCCCTGACCCTGAGGCCATAAAATTCACAATTTAGGAAGAGGCACTCTTGCTCATCATAACTATGTACTTAGTTAGTTTATTTAATACCCAGGAGCAGAAAAGAAGATTTTTGAAGAATTAATGCATTTTCACTATATAATCAATAGAGCCCCAACCTAGCACCAGAACCCTGACCCTGGGGCCATAAAATTCACAATTTTGGAAGAGGCACTCTTGCTCATCATAACTATGTACTTACTTAGTTTATTTAATACCCAAGAGCAGAAAAGAAGATTTTCAAAGAAATAATGCATTTTCACTATATAATCAATAGAGCCCCGCCCTAACACCAGAACCCCTGACCCTGGGGCCATAAAATTCAAAATTTTGGAAGAAGCACTCTTGCTCATCATAACTCTGTACTAACTTAGTTTATTTAATACCCAAGAGCAGAGAAAAAGATTTCAAAGAAATAATGCATTTTCACTAATATAATCTCTATAGCAGGGATGGGGTAATTGAAAAAAGTAATTGTAATTGACTGTAATTAATTACATTTTTTGAAGTAATTGGAAGTAATTTGTAATTGAACATTTTTTCAATTACTTGTAATTGTAATTTAATTAATTACACTGAAAAAATACCATGTAATTTCAATTACTTTTTCAATTACATTCAATTACTTTATATGATACACATCTTTGATATATTGTCACCACGACCTCCCCATTGTACTGTATTTTATTGGAAATCAATTATACCGAAGACAGATTTTTTTAATAAGAATAATGTATAGTTTAATTCTTTCTAATCATTTTATAAAAATTTATTTCTTTGTTTTATGTTTACCTGAATTTTGCACCACGATTTCTAGGTCTATTCAGCTTTGAAATACACATAATTTATTTTATTTCAATCTCTTGTTTGTTCAATGAAGAATAAAAATATGTGTGTCAAGAAAAAAAGGAATGTGCGTGTCATTAATGAAGTTCTCTCTTGTTTGTATAAAGAGATAATTGCCCCCAGATCACACCTGTAAATTACAATCAAAACAAATCAACCCCTCTAAAGAGGTATTCATTCCTTGATTTAGATGACAAAGCCAATGCATGGGGATAATTATTTCAATTAAAAATGCTCTGCTAGTTTGAGAAAAGAAAAAATTTGATAATTATTTTATCATTTAAACAGAATTTTATGAAAGTATTTTGTATCTGAAAAAGATTTGTTTTGTACAGTCAAGTTTTATTTATGAAGTAAAAATGTTCAACATAAATAGCAATTTAGGATTTTAACTTTAAAAGATTACCTTTATTTAAAAGAAATATTTAATTTGAGGGGTTACAGTTGTGACTTATTTTTACTCTATTGAAATATCCCCTTTTAATTAAATATCATATCTCATGCAATTAGTGTACATGTAGGTTTTGTGTGGAGGCAACTGCATCAAACTGATCTTGAACAGACCTTTACTGTTTTATAAATAAAAGTTGTGATTTAAACCACAAAGATACACTATGCCTAATAACATATTATTTCTTGTATTGTTTGTGCAGAGGCTGCGTTTATTCACAAGTGAAATATCCATGTTCTGTATATTCATATGATTAATATGAAAAAAAAAAAATTAAAAAAATAAAAATGTAATTTGTAATTTAATTAATTACTTTTGTAAAGTAATTGTAATTTAATTAATTACATGTCTTAGAAAGCCTGTATTTAATTGTAATTTAATTGAAGAAAAAGTCAAAGTAATTGTAATTTAATTAATTACTTTTTAAAGTAATTGACCCCATCCCTGCTCTATAGCCCCACCCTAACACTAGAACCCCTGACCCTGAGGCCATAAAATTCACAATTTAGGAAGAGGCACTCTTGCTCATCATAACTATGTACTTAGTTAGTTTATTTAATACCCAGGAGCAGAAAAGAAGATTTTTGAAGAATTAATGCATTTTCACTATATAATCAATAGAGCCCCAACCTAGCACCAGAACCCTGACCCTGGGGCCATAAAATTCACAATTTTGGAAGAGGCACTCTTGCTCATCATAACTATGTACTTACTTAGTTTATTTAATACCCAAGAGCAGAAAAGAAGATTTTCAAAGAAATAATGCATTTTCACTATATAATCAATAGAGCCCCGCCCTAACACCAGAACCCCTGACCCTGGGGCCATAAAATTCAAAATTTTGGAAGAAGCACTCTTGCTCATCATAACTCTGTACTAACTTAGTTTATTTAATACCCAAGAGCAGAGAAAAAGATTTCAAAGAAATAATGCATTTTCACTAATATAATCTCTATAGCAGGGATGGGGTAATTGAAAAAAGTAATTGTAATTGACTGTAATTAATTACATTTTTTGAAGTAATTGGAAGTAATTTGTAATTGAACATTTTTTCAATTACTTGTAATTGTAATTTAATTAATTACACTGAAAAAATACCATGTAATTTCAATTACTTTTTCAATTACATTCAATTACTTTATATGATACACATCTTTGATATATTGTCACCACGACCTCCCCATTGTACTGTATTTTATTGGAAATCAATTATACCGAAGACAGATTTTTTTAATAAGAATAATGTATAGTTTAATTCTTTCTAATCATTTTATAAAAATTTATTTCTTTGTTTTATGTTTACCTGAATTTTGCACCACGATTTCTAGGTCTATTCAGCTTTGAAATACACATAATTTATTTTATTTCAATCTCTTGTTTGTTCAATGAAGAATAAAAATATGTGTGTCAAGAAAAAAAGGAATGTGCGTGTCATTAATGAAGTTCTCTCTTGTTTGTATTAAGAGATAACTGCCCTCAAGATCACAGCTGTAAATTGCAATCAAAACAAATCAACCCCTCTAAAGAGGTATTCATTCCTTGATTTAGATGACAAAGCCAATGCATGGGGATAATTATTTCAATTAAAAATGCTCTGCTAGTTTGAGAAAAGAAAAAATTTGATAATTATTTTATCATTTAAACAGAATTTTATGAAAGTATTTTGTATCTGAAAAAGATTTGTTTTGTACAGTCAAGTTTTATTTATGAAGTAAAAATGTTCAACATAAATAGCAATTTAGGATTTTAACTTTAAAAGATTACCTTTATTTAAAAGAAATATTTAATTTGAGGGGTTACAGTTGTGACTTATTTTTACTCTATTGAAATATCCCCTTTTAATTAAATATCATATCTCATGCAATTAGTGTACATGTAGGTTTTGTGTGGAGGCAACTGCATCAAACTGATCTTGAACAGACCTTTACTGTTTTATAAATAAAAGTTGTGATTTAAACCACAAAGATACACTATGCCTAATAACATGTTATTTCTTGTATTGTTTGTGCAGAGGCTGCGCTTATATACAAGTGAATGATCCCTGTTCTGTATATTCATATGATTAATATGAAAAAAAAAAAATTAAAAAAATAAAAATGTAATTTGTAATTTAATTAATTACTTTTGTAAAGTAATTGTAATTTAATTAATTACATGTCTTAGAAAGCCTGTATTTAATTGTAATTTAATTGAAGAAAAAGTCAAAGTAATTGTAATTTAATTAATTACTTTTTAAAGTAATTGACCCCATCCCTGCTCTATAGCCCCACCCTAACACTAGAACCCCTGACCCTGAGGCCATAAAATTCACAATTTAGGAAGAGGCACTCTTGCTCATCATAACTATGTACTTAGTTAGTTTATTTAATACCCAGGAGCAGAAAAGAAGATTTTTGAAGAATTAATGCATTTTCACTATATAATCAATAGAGCCCCAACCCAGCACCTGAGAACCCTGACCCTGGGGCCATAAAATTCACAATTTTGGAAGAGGCACTCTTGCTCATCATAACTATGTACTTACTTAGTTTATTTAATACCCAAGAGCAGAAAAGAAGATTTTCAAAGAAATAATGCATTTTCACTATATAATCTATATAGCCCCACCCTAGCACTAGAACCCCTGACCCTGGGGCCATGAATTTCAAAATTTTGGTAGAGGACTCAATAGACATTACATTCATGCTAACAGTTTGCCTGCTTGATGTCCAGGAGTAAAGAAGAAGATTTTTAAAGATTTCATTAATTTTAGTTGTTTTGGCCCCACCCCTCAGGCCCGAGGGGGGCAGGGACCATGAAATTCACAATTTTTGTCCCCCTTCACCATAGATGCTGTACACAAAATTTGGTTGAAATTGGTTTAGCGGTTTCAGAGAAGAAGCTGAAAATGTTCAAATGTTAACACACGACGGACGACGGACGAACACGGATGGCAATAGGTCACCTGAGTGACTCAGGTGACCTAAAAATAAGGTACTGCGTATGTTTGTAAACATCTACAATTCATTTTTTTTTTTAAATTTTCAATTCTTCCTTTGCACATTTCATTCCATACAGTAAATATTTTTTAAAATCTCACCCTGGTAGATGATATAGAGCCAGCTGATATTGTTATTGGAGGCTACCGTGTTACTGCCATCTTGAAGAAGATCCAGAATGTTAGCGATGGTGGAGGGAGTCCATCTTCTCCGCTGGTTGAAGTACTCATTGAAACCCTCCGGAGCGTAGGTGAAGGCATCTGATGCTGCCGCATAGTCCACCCTGTATCCTTGTTGTAACAGCAGTGTGCATAACCAGCGGTCCTCACCTAGGCAATATGTAAACAGGTACACCATTAAATACAATTGTCTGTTAGAATTAACATGAGTTTTATCTGACCCATGTTCCGAGTGGAATTTGAAAAAGTTGTAGACAAATAAAAGACAAGAGACCCACGGGCCTTATAGGTCACCTGAGTAACATGTACAGACCCTAAACCGTGCTACTACACCTCAGAAACAAACCGTACCGTTCCGTGCAGAAAGCGTACCGTACCGTGAACAAAGCGTACCATTCTGTGCACAAAGCGAACCGTTCCATTCACAAAGCGTACCGTTCCGTGCACAAAGCGTACAGTACCATTCTCAAAGCGAACCGCTCTGTTCACAAAGCGTACCGTACTGTCCACAAAGTGTACCATTCCGTGCAAGAAACGAACCGTACTGTTCTTTGGTTAATTATGCAAACCAAGCCCCCCAATGA